GAAGACCAGACTAGAACGGTTGCGAGCTACTGGGATACTGATCATGGCTGGCTCTGGAATCAACTTGACCAGAAACTTCCACTTGGAATTATGAATAGACTTCCTGCGACTATGATTAATGAAGATCCAGAAATGATGGATGTTATTGGATGAAAAAAATGAGAAATCGGGGGGGGGGGGGGGGGGGGGGGTTCTATGTATCCTCGGCTTATGACTTAGCCATCGGAGCAACCGAGTCTGTGGAAGCTGCCAAGTGGAACAGCATTTGGAGGCTGAAGGTGCCTAATCGTATACGCACTTTCTTGTGGCTTGCCCATCATGACAAAATTATGACGAATGGGAACAGGTTCAAACGGGGGATAACTGAGAATGATAAGTGCCCTCTGTGTGTTGACATGGTTGAAGACATTGAGCATGTTTCGCGTCTATGCCCAACTGCTGATGAAGTCTGGCAAGGGGTGATGGCAGCTCACCATGACAGTTGGACAAACTGCCCTTTTTCAAACTGGCTTGAGAAGGGAATATCGGAGATTGGTAGTGGTCGCACACCCTACAAAATGAGCTCCCTGTTTGCCACAACGATGTGATGGGTGTGGAAATGGAGGAACGAACTGGTTTTTGAAGGTTCCTCCAAGCCGTTACAGTTCAAATTAAAGTGGCTTGGATTCGGGCGCAAGTTGAAGAGTTCAGCAAGGCGTTCGCAAGAGCAAATGGCTCTCCGGCCTGATACGTCGAACTGGAGGTTACTATGCTGGTCTAAACCACCGGAGGAGTTCGTCAAAGTCAATGTGGCGGCTCAGCATCAATAAACAACAGAGCTAGCTGCGGTGGTGCTGTCAGGGACCATACAGGGGATTGGTGCTATGTCTTTACTTTCTCTATTGGTAATTGCTCGCCATTCGAAGCTGAAGCATGGGCACTTCTGAAGGGCATACAACTCACCATAGACATGGGATTTATTAAAGCTATCTTTGAATCCGACTCGGAGGAGGTGGTCACATATATGACAAACTCAAAGCCCCCATGCATCACAACCCATAATATCCTGGAAGCTTGCAAGAAGGAACTCCGAAGATTGGAAGTTTGGCAGTTGAACGCCGTGCTTCGTGAACAAAACAGGGTTGCGGATAGCCTGGCATCCTTGGCGAATAACTACCCGGCTGGTTTTCACGGTTTCTCTGAGCCACCGGTCACGTTAAGAGGTTTCTTAGAAGATGATCTCTCTGGGATTCCTTTTTGGCATTATGTTCACAAACCAGTTAACAGTTTGTAATTTTGCTCCTATTGGGTATTCCTCTCCATTCTGATAAAAAAAAAAATAGGAAAGCTAAATAAATAAATTAATTAACAATTCCTAGATATGACTTTCGGCAAGATCTCCCAAATCTCTTGGATCCTTACTCCATTTATACCCCCTTGGTCTTCTAGAAATCCCCAACATTCTGTTACAACTAAAGGCTAGTGATCCGAGCAGTTCCAAGAGCGTAGACCGATTGTCCAGTCGCCAGTACAAACCCAACAAATTTAAGGGTCCGTTCAGGAGTCGTTTTCTGAATTTTTCAGTGTTTGGGTACTCAAGAAAAATGAAGTCAAAGGAAAATATTCATTCTAGTCAATGGAAAAAAAAAAGATTTTTTTAGTCGGAAGACATTTTTCATATTATTTATTTTCCATCTATCTTCACTCTCTTATTATTACTACCACACAACCACCAAACCACTACAATCACCATCATCAGCGACACCACCACACCACACCACAACAACAATATCACAACCAAATCACTACACAACCACCACCACCACACACACCAACACGACTACCACACCATCACCACTACCACACGAAGACCACCATTACCACCACCATCACCACTACTACTACCACACCAGTGCACCACCACCATCACCAGATATTAATATTATTGTTACTATTGTTTTTTTTTTTGAATAATTATTAGTATTGTTATGTTGTTGTTATTATTATAACAAATAATAAGTTATTTTTGAAAAAATAATCAAACAGAAAAAATGTAATTTCTTAACTATCAGTCAAATTGAAATAGGTAATATAATTTTTTAACATTCAACTAAATATCATAAAATTAAAATATTTTTTTAAAAAATGAGTCATTTTTTAAAAATATTCTTTAAGAAACATGTTTTAGGTTTCCAAACCTACCTAAATGAAATTAATAGAGTTAATGTACACAAGGCAAAGGGGACTAAGTAAGCAGATTGAAGACAATATAATTATTAATTAGTCGATTCTGTAGTGTATGGTTCACAACCATCGCTATTTCCTCCAAAGTAGTTGGGAATGCCATTTCGTTTCTACTAAGAAGTTGAATTTCCTTACTTGAAGAGCGCACCATCATTAATGAGGATATGAATACTTTTTAGTCCAACCTCTTATCTCATATAAAACCCTATATTTATATTAATTATTACATCATTACTTTGATCCCAACGACCAATTGTTAAAACTGAAACATTAACAAATTAAGATAACAACGTCGCCCTCTGTTAAAAACTTTTGTAACTTATTAATAGATTTGATATCCATTATCTTTATTTTTTTCTTTTTCTATTTTACCATTGGATACCATTGGATTCAAATTCTTTAGTGATCATAAAATTAATTACCCTTCCCATCTCTACCTTTAAATAATGGACCTAAAAATGAAAAAAATAAAATTAAAAAAAAAAATATATATATATATATATATATATATATATATATATATATATATATATATATATATATATAGAAGAGCGCTCATATGCGGCGGGGTCTTACGGTGCGGCGGTGCGGTCAAATTCCAGAATACACCAACAGTGTTAACAATATGCATCAACAGTGTAATAAAAACACACCCCAATGAAATGTAATAAAACATCACAAAATACACCACAGACTCAAAAAAACACACCATATAACTCACCACCCCCAATGGTGTATTTCAGAACAGTGTATGGTGTTTTTACTCACACCTAATGGTGTGTGTTTGGTGATGCAGGGCTCTGTTTACTCTGTTTTGTGTGGTGTATTTCCTAACGTTGATGGTGCATATTTGGTGAACTATTGGTGTTGCCGCACCGTAAGAAATAACCGCACCGTAAGACACTGCCGCACCTGAACCCGCCTATATATATATATATATATATATATATATATATATATATATATATATATATATATATATATACACACACACACACATATACATACACACACACACACACACAAAAATTAAGGACCAAATGAGGACCTATCCTTAGGCAGTCGTTATATCGTGAACCACGGTGCACTTGTACCGCAGTCAAAACGGCACCGTTTCTTTAAGTAAAGAAACGACACGCCGTTACTGTTAACGGAGCGTGCATTTTTTATGTGTTAATTACCAACTGAAACTACAGTGTATCTAAACTGACACTACAGTGTATATAAACCGACACTGCCTCACGTATTAATTTTATATATTATCAAATGAAACTGTAGTTGTGGTGAAATGAAACTGCAGTGTATATAAAATGGAACTGGAGTGTATATTGTGCAATGAAGCTGTAGTTATATCGAAATGATCATGTAGTTGTGTTTTAATGAAACTATAGTGTATATAAAATAAAATTAAATAACATTTTCACATATTTGAGTGTATAAATATCGAATGAAACTGTAGTTATTTCGAAATGAAACTGTAGTTGTGTTGAACTGAAACTGCAGTATATACAAAATGAAACTGAATAACAGAGTTACTTTTTGCGGAACGGCGCGAAACGGGTGTCGTTTCTTTTCATTAAACAAAACGACGTCGTTTTGAGGCTCGATGCATAATCGATTATGCACTGCGGTGCACGATATAATTTGTCATCCTTAGGTGAGTACGTGATGACTTATCTGATCCTTTCATTTAAGAGTTAATACCTCCAATGATCCTCCGAGTATTAGCCATTTATTGGTCATCTGACTTTTAAACGACCACGAGACGTCCTCCATGTTTTCAAAAATAACCACCCCTGATCCTCCATTAAGTTTGGTGTTAAATGAGCGACGTTAAATGTGAGGGCAATGCTATCTTTTCACCAATATTAGCCCTAGCATATTTTTCTTTGCTCCTCCGCACAGCTTTCAGGTTGGGTGCAAAGAAGAACAAGAGCAGCACGGAGGAGAATGACAAACGTGGATGGAACATCATGACAGTCAATCACATGGATGGAGCTCTAATCCGCCCCGACAAGCATAAGCATTTCGGTGGCCGTTTCATCACCAAGCTTGACAGCCAAGTGAAGTGTGACATGTCCCCGCCCATATATATATATATATATATATATATATATATATATATATATATATATATATATATATATAAAATTAGGTTCTGGTGCGGTTGGCGGTCCCAGGTGCAGTTGTGGGATTAAATCTGAGTCATTAATCTTGCTTAAATCAAGGTCCAGGATTATCAAAATTTTTAAAAAATAATTGTGGTGTCAATTTGATAATTTTTGCATCTAATGCAAATTTAAGGTGCGTGGGGTTTGTGCTTAAGGTGCGTGGGGTTTGTGCTTAAGGTGCGTGGGTTGTGTACTTAATGTGAGTAGTTGTTGAAACTTAAGGTGTGTGAGTTTTGTGCTTAAGGTGCTTGAGATTTGTGCTTAAGGTGCGTGAGTTTGTGCTTAAGGTGCGTGAGTTTGTGTTTAAGGTGAGTAGTTGTTAAAACTTAAGGTGCGTGGGGTTTGTTCTTAAGGTGCGTGGGTTTTGTGCTTAAGGTGCGTGGTTTGTGTTCTTAAGGCGCTTTGTTCCGTGCTTAATGTGCATGGTTTATGTACTTAAGGTGAGAGATTTGTGTTCTTAAGGTGTTTTGTTTGTGTGCTTAAGGTACGTGGTGATTTGTGTACTTAAGGTGCGCCATTTTAATGCTGAGATAAACGTCTCTTATGTAGGGGGGGACCATTAGTGAATTGCTCAATCCACTAAGTGCTCAATTCTAAACAAAGAATCGATTTACCAAGTGGCATACCCCTTAATCGTAGAAACTCAATCTTTTGTTCAAGCACTTGTGTCATGGAGTGTCAAATAATGGACAGTTTTGATGATCTACCTTCAAATTGTTCTTCAAGGGCTTTCACTCACCGCAACATCCTGTATATAAAGGTGTTAAAACCCAATAGTGTAATTCATACACTAGTCTTCAACGCTTCATATTAGCACATATGAATTGAATACTTAGCTTTGATATTAGTCTCTTGATAGAGGTGAAGTGCAGAATGATGTAATGATGTTCAATCAAAGTTCCTCTCAGTAGATCATTACACTCAAAAATGGTTTATCTCTTAGAGCATTCTTTGTATTTATATTCATTGCTTCTTGATGCAGCAAAGAGAGCAGGTATTTATATTCAATTAGATTGACTAATAGAAATGAAACTAACATTAAGAGAATTAGAGGTTCATTTTTCACAATACAGAAAGTTCATTTTATCAATATTGCAAGTCCATTAATCAATAACTAAATTTCAATATATATTAATATGAGTGATTCAAAAAATATCAATAAGATATTTTTAATAATACTCCTTATATTTTATGACATTGATTTTATTTATACAAACAAAATAAAGAAAAATATGTGTAAATGATAGTATGCAAATTGATGTCATTATAATGAGGCTAGTGTATTGTAATATATATAATAAACCTACATATACTATAATAATTAAATGGGAAAAAGAGATCAAGAGGGAGGAGAGATATAATAAAATCCACAATATTTTACATTCCAGTATAAAAGACATGCAGGACAAAAATGAAATCTATATACTGCAGAACAAAACGTATATATATCCAAACATACAAAAACTAATAATAAAAAATAAAAAAGTAAAAGAAAAGAAAAACCTTGAAAAATCTTCTATACTTGAAGTATACATGCATGCAGTATAAATCATTTGTCAAAGTATTGAGTCGAAGTAGTAATTAATTACAGTCAAGAAATGTCATGCATGAAAGCTTCTTCAAGAAGCAATTCAGGCCAGTCGTATGAAGAAGACGAAGAAGTGCCTTGATAATCACCATTGCTGGAAGTGCTGGTAGAATCCCCTTTATTATTATTATTATTCAAAAAACAATCCGTTAATGGGGGCAATATGGAATCAGAATTAAGTGATTTATTATTGTTATCATTATTCAAATGTGTTTGGAAGTTGAAAGGGACTAATTGGTTGTGGAGCAGTTGAGAGGTGCCTGAGTTTTCAATGGAGAAAAGGGTTTGGTTATTATCTGTTTCTTTATTGGAAAGGTTTGGTAGATTAAAATCCCAGAAATCTCCATTGTTGTCGTACGATGATGACGAGGTGGTTGTGGTCATTGGTAGTGGTGGTGATGATTGAAAGAGCATTTGTAAGTATTGAATTTTGGTGGCCATAATGTTGTGTGCAGCAGCTTGGGCTTCTTCTAGTTTGTGGGGTTGGAGTAAAGTGGCTAGGGCTAAGAGATTTGGCAAGTTTGAAAATAGGTCATCAGTTCTTGGCCTGTGAGTCATTGGATCATATCCCATTTGGATCAGCTTCTTCTTCAAGTGTGTGTTCCAGAAATTCTTGATTTCGTTGTCTGTCCTTCCTGGTAAGTGTGTTGCGATCGTTGACCACCTATATATACATAAAAGTTGGCAAAAACTAATGTGAGATCTGACACTCTCAGATTTTTGTCCGTGAAACAGGTCGTATCAAGTTGAAAATTTTAATAATACTAATAATAAATTAATTAAAGTGTTTTGTTACTTGAGAAAGTATAATACTTTTGAAGAAAGTATTACTTTTTTTTTTGAATGCTTGAAGAAAGTATTACAATTTCTCTTAAAAGTAACAAACACTTTATTACCCGTCTCATGGATAAGGATCCGTGAGGCAGTCTCACAAGAGAGTCACTCATAAAAGTTTAAAATCACCACTTGGAATTAAAAAATTTGGGCAAAAACTTGTGTGAAATAATCTTACAGATCTCCTTAATTGTCTATGATCGAGACCATTCAGATGGTAGACGATTAGGTGTGTAAGTATCACCGTTTCAATTATAAATATTATATAATATTTATCATAAGTAACAACCGATTTTATCATAAATTGTATAACAATTTCACATATAAGTATTACAATATCTATTATAAGTAACAATTTATTTTTAATTCGAAATGAGTTTAAATTTAAGTAACATAGTTTATTTATTTCGATCATATTAATTGGTATTAAACTTTCTGTAATAAGTATCATATATAGATTCAACCCGTCTCACGGATCCTCGCATAAGTATGACTCAAAAATATGAGATCAATAAATTTATATGAGTGAATTCCATTTTTGGTCCTACTGTTATAGGGACGTTTCCAATTTCAGTCCATTTAAATTTTTTTGCCATTTTACAACCACTGTTATTGAATGTGTTCCACTTTTCGTCCACCGTTAATATTTTCGTCAAGAGGCCGTATAATCAAAAGGTATTTTGGTCTTTTTATGTTTGTCTCTTCTCTTTTAATCCAGGCGCTCCGTTCTCCTCCTCCGATATTCGAAGATGGCTCTTCGAACAACGAGAATGGGAAGCCAAAGCTACATCGTTTCGTTCGTTCCAACATGGGCCGGCGAGGTTTCTTAGGGGTCGTTTACTAACTTGGAAAAATGGAGGATTTTCCAAAAAATGGAGAAATTGAGAAGTGGAGAAATGGAAAATTGGAGAAGTTGTTTACTAAATTTCTTCTTCCAAATTCAATCTCTATCTCCATTCTTCCTCTTTTAATACAAATTTGGAGAATAGATAAAAAGCTTTCTCCAAATGGAGGAGTGGACACGGGTGAACAGTAAATCGCGTGAACAGTGCACGATGTTTTGTTCTTCCCTTTCTTTTCCCCTACGTGGCTACTACGTCTTCCTCTTTTTTTTTTTTTTTCATTTCGGTCTTCTTTCTTTCTTCTTCTTATTATTATTATTATTATTATTATTATTTCCCCCCACCCCCACCCCCCACGTCTTCCTCTTTTTTCCATTTCATTTATTTCTCTTTTTTTTTTTTTTTTTTTTTTTTTTTTTTTTTTTTTTTTTCATTTCGTCCTTCTTTCTTTCTTATTATTATTATTATTATTATTATTATTATTATTATTATTATTATTATTATTATTATTATTCCCCCCCCCCCCCACATCTTCCTCTTTTTTCCATTTCATTTATTATTATTATTATTATTATTATTATTATTATTATTATTATTATTATTATTATTATTATTATTATTATAGAAATGAAAAATTGGAAATAGGGAATGAAAATTAGAAAATTGGAGAAATGGAAAATTAGAGAAATGGAGATAGAAAACTGGAAAAATGGAGAAATGGAAAAATGGAAATGGAAAAACAGAGAAATGAAGTAAACGACCCCTTAGGTTTTAGGTTTAATGTTCTCATTTCTTTAGTCAAACATAGTCCTGGATGAGAAGAAAGGTCAAAATACCCCTAGATTACACGGCCTCTTGATGGAAATACTAACGGTGGGACTAAAAGTGGAACACATTCAATAATAGTGGTTATAAAGTGGCAAAAAAAATTAAGGTGGACTAAAATTGGAAATGCCCCTATAACAGTAGGACCAAAAATGGAATTCACTCAATTTATATTTAGGATAATGTTCTTACTTGTTCCCTAGGATGGAATGGAGATGAAGAATTGTGTGCTCTTCTTCTTGAGAAATTTTGCCTCTCTTGATATCTGGCCTCAAATAATTAGTCCATCTTAACCTACAGCTCTTCCCACATCTATTCAAACCTGAAAGAAAAATGAAGAGTTACCAAGATTATCATCTATATATGATAGAAATAATGTTTTGACTGAAATAATACAATTTTTGTGAATACAATTATATTACCAGCAAGTTTTGGAAGGGCTCTCCAACTGCCATGGCCATGTTTCTCAATGTAATCAGAAAGCTTTTTGTCTTCTTCAGGTGTCCATGGCCCTTTCTTGAGGCCATTTTCGTCACAGCACGGGGCCCTTCCCATCCTATATTTCTGCCTAGCTAGCTAATACCTATGATATGATGTCTTAATATAATGAAGCCAAACCATAGTATTTATACAAACCTTCTGCTCCTATTTTCTCTTGTCTTCTAGTATTAATTATTATTATTTTTACATAAAATTGATTTGACATAGTCTCCCTATGTTTTGTCCCTACTTAATTATTGTATGACTTCAATTATACACTATTGACAATGACCTTTTTTGGAGTACTATTTTTCATTCATATATATATATATATATATATATATATAGAGCTTATATGTTTAATGGTTATGTATGTATTTTCTCCCAGTATCTCTTCGGAGAATCGTTTTTCGTATATTATCTAGTATCTCCATTACCGGGTTGTGGTGATTTGTAAGTTTAACTCAAACTCAATGGAGGATTTGGTCTATAATTATTTTAGCATGCATAGTACATACATACATATAAATTAAATAGGAGTTGTTCTTTGCGATTTTATAGTAGAATTAGTAATTCACTTATCAAATGTCTCAAACAGAGTGAAGTGGAGAATCTTATTTCATATCCTCAAAGAACCAATTCAAATACAAACATAATATTTTATTAGGTGATGTGATATTTCTCAACATATTAATATGAATCAAATACCCCAAGGTTGGGGTTATCAAGAATAAAAATTATCATGTAGAGTATTTTAGTCTTTTCTGTGACCCACATTTTCATTTTTGTTTTTTTGGGAGGTTATTTGAAACCATTTGTAGTATGAAAAATTTTCACCTTAGGAGTGTTTTTTGTTCCTCTTTACACATTTGTTAAGTGTAGTTTGGGTCTAGGATTCAGAGTCCCTGCCTGATAATAACACAGCTTATCAATTATTGGTTTTTTGATCAAGTTAAATCGTCAATAACTGTATACAGTATCATGACATTCCATATTACTTTTTCAACCTATTAAAGGTTGCACAAAGAGTCAACACCACCTTCACTAAGGCTCGATCTCATAACCTTTCATATGGGAGAGTCATTACATGCCATCTGAACACAATGTACTTAGCAGCTTTTTATAACTGTTTATTGCTTCAAAAGGTTAAAATTTTTAAAACTGCTGAAATCAGCTTTTTTTATCAGCTTTTTAAGAAAATAAATTATTTTCTATAAACCACCCCAAATAATTTTAAAAAGAATGAGACTGCGTAGACGAGCTTAGTAGTCTCGTTTACCAATCTCGTTACTCTCATTGTCTCTTCACAGTACTAGGCAACTGCGTACTTGAGCCCATTAACGAGGCTCATAAGCTTGTTGCCTAGTACCATGAAGGTAATAAGCAACGAGATATCTTATTACTGATTAATGTTCACAGGCTTCCCGTGAACATATGTTTATTTTTATATATATAAATTCTATAATAATAATAATAATAATAATAATAATAATAATATTATTATTATTATTACTATTATTATTGAAAGGTATTATTATTATTATTATTATTGTTATTATTATTATTATTATTATTATAAGTTAAAATAACATAATATATCGATACTCACTACTGGAAATTATGAAATTTTCGACCACTTGAAAATGATCTTAAAGGTTATTTTGCATGTAATCAATTATCAGCTAACAACTAATTTACCAAACATCTTTCTACAATCAGATAATGCTATCAACTTGCCAAACCCGCTAATCCAATCTGCTAATAATTATCAGCTAAATCAATCCGCTAATAGCTATTTGCCAAACACCCTAACTGATCGAGAACCGTAATTATTTTTTGTTGTATCTCTTTATATCTGGAAAAAAAAAAACAACGAGTACTGTAATTTGCTATCGCTAAATATTATTAGTGTTCTGAGATTTGTAAATTATTGTGTACATTTATCATTTAATTAAATTATATTTTAATCAGGAAATGAAATACAGTACTGGAGTGGATATCAATCCATTTCGAAGGTAAGAGTGGGTGGGAATATTTAAGAGATCAAGTAGGTTAAAACGCTCATCAGAATTGGTTAGGGTTTGAGTTGTTGACAATATTCGCTAATAAATTATTGGAGTATTATTTTCCCTCTTTTGCAACTTTTACACGTAATTAAAATATAATTTTTAATTTTGAGTTCGACCCTCCTAGGATACCGTACCATCTCAGGCATGGATCCGTATTTGTGAGACGGGTCGGGTCTATATATATATATATATATATATATATATATATATATATATATATATATATATATATATATATATATATATATATATAGGAAAAAGTTCAAATGCGGCGAGGCCCTCCCGTGCGGCGGTTTTCAGAATACACCAATGTTAACGAAAGACACCAACAGTGTAACGGAAACACACCACAATGAAATGCAAAAATACACAACACACCCAAAAAATACACCATATACCTCCCTACCACAAATGGTGTATTCCGAGCACTGTGTGGTGCTTTTAGTAATACCTAATGGTGTGTTGTTGGTGATGCGTATTTGTGTGTATTTTTTGTGGTGCATTTCTTGACGTTGATAGTGTATATCTTGCTTAACTATTGGTGTATTCTGAAAATCATAGCACGACCGCACAGGAAGGGGTCGCCGCACCTGAACTCGTCTCTCTATATATATATATAAAATACCTATTGAAAACCATTCAATAAAGGAGACTTTATACTTGTTCTTTTGACATCCTATGATTTTGTTTTACAATTATTTTATTACTCCCTATTTTTAAGGATCAAAATCTGAAACAATCATCTCCTTGTCCGCCATTCATGAAACCATGACATGTTCAAGATCTTTTTTCCACAAAATGAGTTGAACGTGTGGTTTTGCATGCGGGGATTTGTTGGAGCCTTAAAGTATAAATACTCCACCAGTTGAGCAGAGAAGGACGAACGAACAGCACATTTTTCTTGCACTCTTCTTCTTCGTTTGTCCATCCTATTTACAGTCTGAGCATTAATTACTACCAATTTGTGTCGCTTGTCAGAAGCTTGTCGATCCGTCACCTGAAATATTAAGCTTTTAAGGTAGTGTTTTTAGACACGCTACAGATCATTGTTCTTCATTCTGTCCAATTCTAATTCGTGTAAAACACCTGCAGATCAGCTTGCGTCTTCATATTTACGAACAAGAAGATTTGCAACAACAGTCTTTGTTCTCAATCCAGCTTCGTTGTTCATCTTTGTATTTACCAAGAAGCAGATTTACACCAATAGTTAACACTTAATACTTTCTATTTCTCTTTTTCTGCTTCATACACGATGTCAATATCAGTTGCCAAGAATGTCGTCGACCTCAACGCAGTTGAACCTCTAACTGGTGGTCTCAACTACCGAAGGTGGTATGCAAAAGTGATGATGCTTCTTGAGGCGCAGGACCTGGACTACGTCATCTTCTAGGTAATTTTTGATCAGACTGATGCGCAACCTACACAGCCAGAAACGCATGTTACCATTCTGCACGCCACGCTAAACCCAAAAACGCCTACAGCAAGCCACAACTATAACCCAAGAAGCTTGCACCAAATATGGAAGAGATAACAAGAATGCACGAGCATCAATTTTGCAGCGAATGACTAGCACCTTATTCGATATATTTTCGAAGCATAACTCTGCCAAAACCATTTGAGACTTACTGCAACAAAAATATGGAACTGACGACGCTGGAAGGAGGAAATACGCAGTGGGGCGCTGGTTGCACTTCAAAATGACTGACTCTCTGTAGTTAAACAGGTACATGAGTATTAAAATTTTGTTGCAGATATGTTGGATAAAGGAACCTAGGTGAACGATGTTTTCTTGTCTGATGCCCTCATTGAGAAACTGCATGAGTCCTAGTTGGACTTCAAGAATAAAATGAAGCATGAAAGGCGAGATTACACACTACAGTAGCTGGTCAATAGCCTGAACATAGAAGAAGAAAATCGCCTCACGCACAGGTCTGCTACTCCTGATAATGTAAAAGCTAACGTTGTTGAAACAAGTGTCATCTTTAACAGGCCAAAGGCTGGTGATCATAATAATAACCATAAAAGGAGCTCCAAAAAACAACAACAATAATCGCTTCATGAATGGCAAAATTCAGAAAAACGGAAAAGGTGGTGGATGCTTCGTTCGCGGGAAACAAGGCCACCGTGTAGCCCAATGCTATCACCACAAAGGGTTCATCAATTAGAACACGCAAAAATCAAACAATGAATATAATGGCCTAAGAACCACGCTCACCCACTGGAAAACACGAAGAACACTGAGGTAATTGCAGCCGTAATAACTGAGGGCAACATTGTTAGACATCCAGAAGAGAGGGTTGTAGACACAGGATGATCTCGCCACTTTTGCAACAAAAAGGATATGTTCAAGGAGTTCAAGCCTATCACTGAAGGAAAACAAGTGTTCATGGGGAATTCCAGCGTTTCACAGGTAAGTGGTAGAGTAAAAATAGAACTTATGTTATATTCTGGGAAACAATTATTGTTGCAAAATGTGTTATACGTCCCTTCTCTCTATAGAAACTTAATTTCCGGAGCCTTACTGAATAGGGCTGGGATTAAGATGGTGTCTGAGTTTGACCGTCTAGTTCTGACTTGTCGAGGGAAATTTCTTGGGAATGGATATCTGCGCGGGGGACTCTTTGTGTTAGATGTTACTATAATTAGACCTCCCCCTGCCACTGAGGTCCTCCTCTGACTATTTATGATTTTATCCCAAATTGGCGTGGCCCAAACAATGATAATACGAATGATGTTTCTTATTACATTACTTTCATTGATGATTTTTCACGGTTTACAAAACTTTATTTATTGTGATCAAAAGACGAAGCTGAACAAAAATTCTTGATCTTTAAATCAGAAGTGGAAAATCAACTAGATAAAAAGATGAAAAGGCTTCATTCTAATAGGGGAGCTGAATATGAATCAACTTGTCTCAAGAATCTATGTGAAAGTTCTGGTATTGTTCATGAAGTGACTGCTCCCTATACTCCCTAACAAAATGGCATAGCTGAGAGGAAAATAGAACACTCAAAGAGATGATTAATGTCATGCTTATTAGTTCAGGTGCCCCAGATTCATTATGGGGGGAAGTTGTCTTAACAGCAAATCACATCCTGAATAGAGTACCCCATAAAGGGTTTGATAAAACCCCCTATGAACTATGGAAGGGGCATGCCCCTAACCTGAAATACTTTAAAGTGTGGGGGTGTTTGGCAAATGTGGGACTTTCATCCTTCAAAAGGCCCAACTTGGGACCTAAAACATTAGATGTCATATTTGTTAGATATGTTGAAAATTGTGTTGCATACATATTTATGTGTTTAGAAAATCGTTGATTATGTGAATCTAGAGATGTTGTTTTCTTTGAACATGTATTTCCATTAAAAGATTCTCATTATTTATCTGTTGGTGATTTTGATTGGAATGGACATACAATATTCCTTCAGTTCCTATTACAAATGGTCTTGATGAACTTAAGAGGAGTAAAAGAGCTAGAGTTGAGAAAAACATTGGTTATGATTTCATAACATTTGTAACAGAACTGAAAGATATGAATGAAATATGTGATTAATATGTATGTCAATTGGTACTAGAAGAAGAGCCAAAAAACTTACGAAGATGATATGCGCTCTGTTGACTGTACCCTGTGGAAAGAAGCTATTAAAAGTGAGTTGGACTCTATCAAGTCAAATCATACTTGGGAATTGGTAAGTCTCCCTAAGGGGTGTAAATCAATTGGTTGCAAATGGATTTTCAAAAGAAAATTAAGACCAAATAGGTTTATTGAAAGGTTCAAACCCGGGCTTGTAGCTAAAGGCTACACACACAAATTTGGTGAAGACTATTTTTATACATATTCATCAGTAACCAAAATTGCAACTATACGTGTTTTGTTTGCATTAGCGTCTTCACATAGGTTGATAGTCCACCAAATGGACGTGAAAACAACATTCCTTAATGGTGATTTGGAAGAAGAAATCTACATGGAACAAACTCCTAGGTGTGCTGAGTCTGGACAAGAAGATAAGGTATCACTACAAGAAAAATGCACATAAACAACGGTTAATAACCGTTGTCGTAGGGGTATAATTTCTGTTGTTGAAGCCGGTGTTGTTGTAAGTCCCGCGCATAGACAACGGTTTTTTAACCGTTGTCTTTTCTAGAAACAACAACGGTTTTTTAACCGCTGTCTATTAAGTGTTGTTGAAGCCGGTGTTGTTGTAAGTCACGCACATAGACAACGGTTAATAACCGTTGTCTTTTCTAGAAACGACAACGGTTTTTTAACCGTTGTCTATTAAGTGTTGTTGAAACCGGTGTTGTTAAAAGTCACGCACATAGACAACGGTTATTAACCGTTGTCTTTTCTACCAACGACAACGGTTTTTTAACCGTTGTCTATTAAGTGTTGTTGAAACCGGTGTTGTTAAAAGTCACGCACATAGACAACGGTTATTAACCGTTGTCTTTTCTACCAACGACAACGGTTTTTTAACCGTTGTCTATTAAGTGTTGTTGAAATCGGTGTTGTTAAAAGTCACGCACATAGACAACGGTTATTAACCGTTGTCTTTTCTACCAACGACAACGGTTTTTGACCCGTTGTCTATTCAATGTTGTTGAAACCGATGTTGTTAAAAGTGATGCACATAGACAACGGTTTTTAACTGTTGTCTATTGTGTGTTGTTGAAATCGCTGTTGTTAAAAGTCACGCCCATAAACTGTTGTGTTTTGTAGAAAATACAACAGTTTCAACTGTTGTCTATTGTACAAAAGACAACAGTTTCAAACTGTTGTCTATTGTAAAATAGACAACGGTTTTTAACCGTTTTTAACCTGCTTAAATTTTAATCATATAAAAAATCAATTTATCCATTCACCATGGCCAAGTGTAGTTACATAATTTTGCACAAGCTAAGGTTCAAAATAACAAGTCTAAATACTTCCATGACCAATTCTAATCGAATCATATATCATCCAAGTCATAATACTACAAAAAACAATTCCACGAACCAAGTCTAAATGATCACAACGTTCTAATGATCAAATCATACCTACTCTAATAACTTCATAGAATATCGGCCCATTCAGAACGCACCAGATCAATAATTGCTTTGTCACCCTCAATCTGCAATAAAAGAGTAGGCATTTATAAAGAGCACAATCCTAAAGTGCTTCTATAAAGAGGAAAATTTAAGAGACTTGAGATTACACTAATTATATCACTTGCTCCCGTTATATCATCCAATCCATACAATATCCTTTCAGTGTCACTTTCCTAAAAGTAACAATGGCACAACAATAAGAGATTAGTAACGTAACACTGTGCCAAAAAACAAAATAAAAAGCAAATGATATTCATAGTTTAGAATCAAAAGCATCAAGAACAATAAATAGAAGAAAATCTTAAAATGAAAAATCTGAATAGTAGTCACCACTTTTTATCATTTAAGAATTAAGAGGGAATTTCCCCAACTCAAAGGTGAAGAGGTTAGCCTTATAGATAAGACACAATAAGGGTTGAATCAATAAATGTGGATAATAATCATAATATGAATAATGTGTGAATGCAGCTAGTGGAGTTTAGAAAATAAACTGTAGCACTATATCAAGCTTTAAAATCAATGTGTTTCTTAGCTAAAGAAATGGTATTGACAAGCACCTGCCAAAATCTTTTTCTTTTGTTTATATCCCGGTATTTGCAGCTTACAATTTCGCCATTCCTCCGATAAGGAAATGCAATAACAATCTGTATCAACAGAACTTTCAAAAAAGTTAGCCTGGGAAACATTGAATTCATCATATCCGTATGGAAAACCAGCTATGGTAAGATGAGGTAATTAGACTATTAGAGCTTACAATATTTCTCTAATATGGGACAAGCCTTTACTAGTTCATTAAGGAGTTTGATCACTTTAAAGATTAAGAGGATGAGGGTGGTTTCACAAAAGAAGAGAAGAACATTTAAAGAAACACAAATTTGCCATACAAAATCAGACTTGCCAGAAGAGCAGTTGTCAAGCAGCCTTGTATATAAAGCCCTTGGTGAAATTTCCAAATGATTAAAATGGTCCAAGAGCCAATGGTGAAAGGTTCAAGAGCCTAATGAATTGCAAAGTATAGCCTCAAATAGGAACACAAAACTGAAAATTAGGTAATTCAAAGGGAAAAGTTTGAGAACTGATGATAAAGTTAAGGATCAATTATAGTTGATCAAAAACATAAATACACAACAATCAACTTTACATAGTGAAGAAATAAGGGTTGGTTGGGAAAAGTATATCTACGAGGTAAACATGTTTTTTAATATGTAAAGTTGAGTGTTGTTTATATGTACTTTAGCAACCATTTTTGCAAGAAATATAATGCTAATGGCTAAAAAAAAAATTTATTTATTGAACTTATAGGTGCATAATATATTTAAATCTAAAAAGATAATCTAAACATACTTGGAAACGTATATATTCTGTCTCTTTACGTTCCAAGTCCTTGAGAAGAACCTTTTGCTCCTACTTTGGCAAATCTAAGCTTGCCAACTTCTGCTCTAGAAATGAGCGCCTGCAGTTTGTAGAATAGAAAGCATCTGAATACTTCAACAAAGCATCTGACAATTTGTTTGATATTATGGTCCACCTTCTGGGAAAGCTAACTAAATCTAGAAAATACTTCTCTAGAAATAGTTCATTTATCTCAATCCAAGCTAACATATGGGAATGCTGTAACTTCATATCAAAATTATTCATCCACCAGCAATTAAGTGGACATGAGGAAAAATCAAACAGTTCATTTTACAAGGCATATAATGTACAACTGCATCACCACTAAATCATTCAATCAGCTTGTGTCCTATTTATATTGAATGCAGATTTGGACACCCATTATGAATGTCCATCTTTGCAGTGACAATTTCCATGACAACAACCTCATAGGAGGTATGAGCTCATCCTGTATGGCTGTATATATGAGTGCCTGCTATAGACTACCATTCCAAGACAATGACAAACTTCCCTACAAACACTCATATGACTTGTGTTCCACTCACAGACTCATAAATTTTCAAATGATGCAAGCACAACAAGGATTCAAATACTAATATAATGTAGACTCCCTCACCACAGAATAACATTTAGAGCATTTTATTAGAACTAAAGGTTTACAACTTTTCCAACATTGAACTTGAAACTCAAGTAAAGAAAGAAGGAGAAAGCTATTTTTTTTAGCTTTAAATCTTTAATCCGAGGCATAATTTCACTAAAGCACAAGAAACGAACGTATCAACAAGACTCCACTATATGCATGATTAAACTAAGTTGAATATCAAGAAAATGCAATTACCTGAACTCACCAGAACTTGATTTGGTGCAGGAGCAGCTCCCATTCGTGTATCCATTTCAACTTTTCCTTAAACATGCAAAGTGTTTCACTAAGTAAGGAAAGCATAATACTAGACATGCAATGATTGGTTTGGTAGTGAGAATCCTCAGAACTTAGCTTGTTTATTTACCTCAGAACTTGAAGTTCTCTTTCAAGTAACAAACCATCTCTTTCAAGTTACTCATGTGCATAAGTAAGATTAAAGAACTCCTTTGTTTGGTGATTATAAAGATAGCCTGCATGCAAGTTCCAAATAACCATCAGAATCATGGAAAAAACAATATGAACCATATGCAACATATACCATATACTCTTCATAATAAGTACTTTTTTTTTAAAAAAAAAAAATCAAATTCAAAATGAGCATGAGATGTGGCTCATTTTAATAGGAACACTAATTCCCAAGCAAAATCATAAAACCAAATAAGTAATGGCTAGTAATGCATGTCAGAAATTGTGAAAGCCTGAGGCAAAACTGCAGAAAAGGGACCATAAAGAAGTGTTAAGGAATTGCACTACAGAAATAAAAATAAAATGTGCATTCAGAATAATGCATGTCAACCTGTTGCATATGTAATGATGTGACTATTCTAGGGTACAACGAAAGGAGAACACAAGGTTTGAAGAGGAAAGCACAAAAAGCTGCGTCATATTTTGTCCTGTATGCAATAACTGTAAAATGAGATATAGAGAACTACTTAATACATTGACCCGGAGAACTCAACAAACTATTAATCAGAATAGTATCATATCCAACAAGCTTGTTGACCCATGTTGCAAAGCCCAGTTATAAGAATGCCACATAACTTGATTAATTTTGCACACATTCTCCCTCACCAACTTTCTAAATAGTTCTACAGCCTCCACAATCCTATTATCCAGACAGACACCATTAATTAAGGGAGCATAAGTGATGGTATTCGGGGGAATCCCTTTTCCTATCATCTCGGCAAATTATGCTGTGGAACCATGCCCACCTTGCAAGGTGGATACGGTTCCACAACATAACAATTTCCATACAATCAATGCAGCCTAATTAACATCACATAATAGAAGATCTTTTAACACACATATAATAAATTTGCTTAAGAAATATGAATTAATCTTGTTCATCATTGCAAAAACAGAAGCAAAACCTTAAAAATTAAAGCAGATTAAAACAATATGAGACTAGCCCAGATTTTATCCAAATGCAAAATTCAAAAGCAAATCAAAGCAACAACAATTCACACAAACGAATCTTTTAAAGAAATTGAGACCTTTTCTTTAACCACAAAGAGTGAAACCTAAATAGCATGCATATAACAGAGCTGTATAGAAGGAAGATTAGACTGGAATGAAAAAAAAATAGAAAGACAAGCAAGATTAGACTTACAATGAGGCCTGTGCACTTAACAGAGAGCTGTAGAAGGAAGAGCAGCGGCGGCGAGTGTGACTGAGGCTGAGGCTGTGGCTGTCGGCCGTCGTCGTCGGCGAAGGAAGAGCGGCGGCCGGAGGTCTCGGAAATGAGAGGGCGAGAGGAAGGGCGGCGGCGAGTGTGGCTAAGGCTGAGGCGATGGCTGTTGGTTGTCGTCGTCGGCAGAGGGATGGCAGTGAAGAACTCTCCTGATCGGCGAAATGAAATTTTGGAATATTGGGGGTAGAACTCTCTTGATCGAGGAATAAAATTGGGCGAAATGAAAATTTTCTAAGTTTGGGCGGGTAGGGCTAAATTTTGGGTTGATTTTTCGCGCTCTCTAATAAAATAATAATAAATTTTTCGCGGCATCCGGAACGCTAGACCCAATTAAACCGGACAATATAGATATAGAACAGGGTAAGAAAATATTAGTTTTATTACCCGGGTCACTAGACCCAATTAAAATAGTACCGGGTATATAGGTACAGAACGCGAGATTCACAGATTTCTATACTGTAGATTCATAAAATCTTTACTCTAGATTCATAATTTCTAAAGCGTAGATTCATAATTTCTAAATCGTAGATTCATAATTTAAATACAGTAGATTCATAATTTAAATACAGTAGATTCATAATTTCTATGTAGTAGATTCATAATTTCTATACTACAGATTCATAATTTCTGTATTGTTGATTCATAATTTCTAAACTGTATAGTTATCAAATTATGAACATATAATTTTGTGAAAACGACGTCGTACGTTTTGGACTCGTGTTCACAATGCATTGTTCAGCTATTATGAACATAGAACAGTTGCACAGCATAATTTGCCCTTTAATACCCCGAGGTTTATTACCGACAACTCGCGGCCCAATTATATTACAAAGCTAAGATCATGGCAAAAGAAATGGGATATAGCTAACCAATCGTTATGCTATGGACCCGTGTCCACACTGTAGTGTGGACACGGTAACGGTGCCGTTGGTGGACTTTGATCAATGTACGACATAATTTGTGATAGCTAACTGTACGGCATCGATCAACTACTCTTTCATATTCATTCTCCACGTGTCTCAATTTTGGGTGCCCAAATTTTTTTAAAAAAATATTATAGATATAATCTATTGTTTTTTATACTTGATATTTTTATTTTTTTTTTTTGAATTCATAGATTGGTCTTAATTATAATATGAAAATAAAACTTTAATGAATTGACTTTGAAATTTTGGTGAATAATTTTATATTTAAATATGAACGAAAATATAACTATTAAATTAACTTTTGAATTGTATTCTTTATTTGTTAAATTTTTATGCAATATATTTGGACAACAAATTTTAATTACATTTTTATTCTTGTTAACACTCAGGATATAATAGCTAAAAGATAAGGTGTAACACTTTAGTACACAAGAGTTGGTGTGGTTTGGTGGATTTGGCTTTGTTTGTTATGTTAAAGGTCTTGGGTTCTATCTTTTGTGGTGGCATCCTTAACCTATTTTATACAATCATTGTCTTGGGTCTCAAAGACAACACATAAGAAAATTGGTTATATCAAGTATATATATTAGTTTACTTGAGTACATAAGTGTTGATTTGGTTTGGTCGGTTTAACTTAGTTTATTATGTTAGAGGTCTTGGGTTCTATTCTTCCTAAGGGATCCTTTAATTATTTTCTAAAATTGTTGTCTTGGTTTTCACAAACAACACAGAAGCAACCCAGTTATATACTAAATGTTGCACATTTAAACACAAGAGTTTATGTTGCTTAGTTGGTTAAACCTTATTTGTTAAGTTTGAGGTTAAAGGTTCAACTCTTGTTATTAACATTCTTATCTTTGCTTTATACAACTCATTAAATAATGATGTGCAAAGACAACGATTTTTATAACCGTTGTATTTGTAGTGTTGTGTATTCAAATACGCTTAAAGACAACATACCAAAGACAATGGTTAAATAAAACCGTTGTCTTAAACAAATAAAGAACGCGCAACGACAACGGTTGACAATGGTTAAATAAAACCGTTGTCTTAAACAAATAAAGAACGCGCAACGACAACGGTTATATAAAACCGTTGTCGTTGTAGTGTTGTGTATTCAAGTGCTATTAAAGACAACACATAAATGACAACGGTTAAATAAAACCGTTGTCTTTTATAAAATAATATTGCGCAAAGACAACGATTTTTTATAACTGTTGTCTTTGTAGTGTTGTGTGTTCAAATACGCTTAAAGACAACATACCAAAGACAACGGTTAAATAAAACTATTGTCTTAAACAAATAAAGAACGCGCAACGACAACGGTTATATAAAACTGTTGTCGTTGTAGTGTTGTGTATTCAAGTGCTATTAAAGACAACACATAAATGACAACAGTTAAATAAAACCGTTGTCTTTTAAAAAATAATAATGCGCAAAGACAACGGTTTAAAAAAACCGTTGTCTTTGTAGCGTTGTGTATTCTAGTGCGCTTAAAGACAACACACCAACGACAACGGTTAAATAAAACCGTTGTCTTTTTTAAAAAAAAAAGAGCGCACAAAGACAACGGTTTTAAACAACCGATGTCTTTCTAGTGTTGTGTATTCTAATGCTCTTAAAGACAACACACCAACGACAACGGTTAAAAAAACCGTTGTCTTTTTAAAAAAAAAAACGCACATAGATAACAGTTTTAAAAATCCGTTGTCGTTGTGGTGTTGTCTTTTCACAAAATGCACAAAGACAACACACTTATAACAACGGTTAAGTAAAAACCGTTGTCTTTGACAAAAGTGTTGCATCAAAGACAACGGTTTTGGACCAAACTGTTGTCTTTTATACAAAAGACAACACTTTTCTTAAAAACTGTTGTCTTTCTAGTGTTGTCTATGTGCATTTTTCTTGTAGTGTATGTAGACTCAAGAAATCTAGCTGGAGTGATGACCACATGCTTCTCAGTACTGATTCGTATGGAATTAGCACGACCCGGCAATCAAATTCTTGGTGGGAATCATCAATCTATATGGTTTGAAACAAGCCCCCTAAGCAGTGGTATGAAAAATTTCATAAAACCATCTTAGACCTTGGTTATACTGTTAACAGGTCAGATGCTTGTTTATATACTAAAGAGATTGAGTTTATAATTGTGATCATATGTCTCTATGTAGATGATATGTTAATTTTCAGCTCAGACATTGATGCTATCAATGAGACAAAAAGATCACTGTCTGCTAAATTTGATATGAAGGATCTGGGTGAAGCCGATGCAATGTCATACTTGGGGTGAAAGTTACGAAAATTGACAATGGTTACCATTTGTCACAAAGTCATTATACAGAAAAACTATTAAAGAAATTTAACAGCTTTGATGTAACCCCGGCTAAAACCCCATATGATCCAAGTGTCAAATTGTCTAAAAGTTTGCAGATAAGTGTATCACAAGATGAGTATGCAAAAATAATTGGAAGTATAATGTTTCTAATGAATTAGACTAGACCTGATATTGCATTTGTATTGAACAAACTCAGTCGCTATAACCCAAGTGACACACACTGGAAAGCACTGAAACGACTGCTTCAGTACCTCAGAGGTACAATAGATTTGTAACACCCCCCAAAAACAAGGCCCAATTGAAGCCCTAACACAAGCAGATTAACAACAAAACTAGCACAGCGGAAGATAAACGGAAACTGGATAAAAGAAATCCAAAAAGGGGTGTTATGCCACGTATACCACACTAGGTAACGCTAAGGCAACAATCTGCAAGTGTATAATACTATCCCAATACATCAAAATCTAAAACAGTCTAAAAACATTGGCGCACAGGCCACAAAAACACAAAGGTGCTAAGCTACCAAGCTCTAGACATCGCTCTCGTCTAAACACCACTTGAAAGATACAAAGATAAAGATTGGGACGACGCCCGGTCAGCGAATAATGCTGGTAACCCACCAATACCGTTAAGTATCATAAATAGGTAGATATAAGATATAAAAACCATTTTCAAAACGGAATACATATATATAAGTCAAAAACCAAGATCACCAGTCAACACAAGACTCATCACTCTCAAGACCACACGGGAACACATCCCAAACCACAAAGGTTAACCACACACAAGGATAAAGCCTCCGTGACTACACACGTCACGAGAGAAGATCACACAACGCCGGCTCTACAAGCCCTCGCAAAATCACCCATCGCGAGTTGGTATGCCTTCCTTATGCCCTGTTCCAACCTTATGGCTACCCTCAACCTTGTACCTTCTTTCCAACCATTACCTCCAGGATCCCCTGTACAGCCAAGTTCAACCTTATTCCGCCGGGACTGTCGTCCCCCACCTATAACCACCAACGAACCACCACCAATCACGGCAACCCATGCCCGGATAACACATGTTATCCCACAATCACGTGGACCCATCACTCAGGCCACAACTCCATAATCACGTCACGGTCACCACGAGGACCACTGCAATACATTAGTGACTAGTGTCCCATACCACTAATCGTGCAATCCAGGTAGAGCCACACACACCACACCTCAACAGGAATCAATCAAAGGATTGCAACGAAGGTATGAAACACACTCAATCAAGGAACGGGTCACAGCCCAACCAACAACAACGATGAATAACACAAGTTATCATCAACCAAACGGAAGGTACAAACCACACACACGCTAGTATTAAGACAACGAACTAGCATGCTTAACAACGGGGAAACTCAAGATAGTTCCGCGGAACACACAAGACACCTCTTGTTCCAACGAAACACAATGTTGAACACTTAGCACGATTCAAGACACCAAAGTCCTACAAGGATACCTACCATATAGTTCTAGACCTACGAAACATCAAGAAGACACTCAAATAGTTCCACAAAAGAACAACGGGAAGCCAAAAGATCAAATACCAAGACAACGAATCACGGGGAACAAATCCCGAACCAAACACCACCGTGTACCCGCGGGTGGACCCACGGGTAGTCCGGCGGGTGGTGCCCCGCCTGCCGTTCCGCCCGCGGGAACATTCCTGTTCCACAACAAATCCCTTCGGGGATTTTCTTCTCCAAACACAAATTCAAGTCCAAAACATGCCAAATCTCACCAAACACAACAAAATGACTTGAACCAAGGAAAATGCCAAGCAATGGAACAAAGGAACTCTAAATACCAGCTCTAGATATGCAATATCACAAGATAAATGCATAAACCCTCACATTTCATAGCAAAACACAAGTAGAATCCAAGAAATCACACATAGGTAAGCAAAATAGGTTTTGTAGAGCATGGGTTACCTCTTGAAGACCAAAAGACTTCACTTTACACCACAACAAGCTCTCCACTAGGCTCACTTCTCAAACCCACTTCAAGATCAAACCAAAAGATCATAAAGATCCTACCTTTAAGAAAAAGATAACTAAGATGGAACCAAAAAGACTAAACAAGCTTAGATCTTACCCTCCTAGATGCCCAAATAGGTGAAAGGTTGAATCTTGGAAGAAAAACTTGGAATCTTGACAAGGGTCTCAACTTGGCTTGGAGAATAAGATACACTTCTATTCTAGAGAGAAGGTAGAGATATTTTTCTAGGAATTGTAAGGAATGAAATGAAGAAGTCTTCTAGGTTAGGATACAATACTAACTCTTGGTGAAAAGACAAGGCTACCCTTACTAACCCTTAGAAAGTGTAAGGAACAAGGGAACTCGTCTCTAAGCACAAGGTACAACACAACTTAAAGATTGACTAGTCAAATACTAGTCCTTGAGTATTAAAAATCAGGATTTTAGAAATAAATTCCTCAAAAGAATTAGAATTAATTACTCAATTAATTCATGGATTGGAGTGTGGATTTTTTGGGTGTCACAAGATTGGGGTCTTGACTAGCTATACAGGATTTCCAGTAGTATTGGAGGGGTTTTGTGACGCAAACTGGGTAAATGACAGCAAGGATGTTAGCTCCACTAGTGGATATGTATTCACAATGTGCGGAGCAGCCATATCGTGGAAATCAACTAAACAATCTTGCATAGCTAGGTCAATTATGGAAGCAGAGTTCATAGCTCTTGACCTAGCAAGCCAAGAAGCAGAGTGGCTAAGAAACCTGCTGGCAGATATTCCATTGAGGGGGTGGGTCTAACACCCTCAGTGCCCATTCATTGTGATTCACAAAATGCTATTTGTGTTGCAAAAAATAGTGTCTACAATGGGAAGAGAAGACACATACGAGTCAGATATGAGTCTGTACGACAGTTAATTACTAACGGGGTAATCACAATGGAATATGTGAAGTCCGAGAGGAATATTGCAAATCATCTCACAAAAGGTTTAAACCAAAATACCATCCTTAAAACATCAAGGGGGATGGGTTTAAAACCTATGAGGTAAGGAATTCATGATGGATACCACTAAAGTGGTCAAACGGAATCATGGAAAGACTTACACCTAACCTGTGAAATAAATGACCATAATTCACTTTGTAGCCTGAAATGGGTGGTCTATGTTGATATAGAGTTCACAGAGATGAAGTCTATAATGAGATAGACTTGACGTGTTTGAAACGTCTATATTGAGGTAGACATGACGGGATTTTAATTTGTAAAGTCGATGTGTGCGTTAGAGTTCAAAATTTTTCTAACCAATGAGTTTATATATATATATATATATATATATATATATATATCACTCTTGGAAAGGAAATTACTCAATATCAATACGTGTTAGTTCAATATATCATTCACTAACAACTTTGAGTTGCTCAAACATTCCATTGTTAAGCCTTCCTTTTTGAATGGGTGGGGAATTGTTGAAAACCATTCAATAAAAGAGGCATTAGAGTTGTCCTTTTGACATCCTATGATTTTGTTTTACACGTATTTTATTACTCCCTATTTTTAAGGATCAAAATCTGAAACAATCATCTCCTTGTCCGCCATTCATGAAACCATGACATGTTCAAGATCTATTTTCCACAAAATGAGTTGAACGTGTGGTTTTGCATGCTAGAATTTGTTGGAGCCTCATAGTATAAATACTCCTCCAGTTGAGCAGAGAAGGACGAACGGACAAAGCATTTTTCTTGCACTCTTCTTCTTCTTCGTTTGTCCATCCTATTTACAGACTGAGCATTACTACTAATCTGTGTCGCATGTCGAAAGCTTGCCGGTCTGTCACCGGAAATATTAAGCTTTTAAGTTAGTGTTTTTAGACACGCCACAAATAATTGTTGTTCATTCTGTCCAATTCCAATTTGTGTAAAACACATGCAGATCAGCTTGCGTTTTCATATTTACGATCAATAAGATTTGCAACAACCACTAGTACAAAATTGAGAATAGAAGTCTCACTTTACAAGACACCTTCACAAAGAAGGTGTTGTGGAATGAATATGGTAAATTTTTCCGCGTCACCAATCGGGAAAGGTGCCTTAGAAAATATATTATTAAAATAATAATAAGAGAATCCGCGACACCAATTAGAAAGGGGTGTTGCGGATATTATATTATTAAAATAATAATAAGTGTATCCGCGGCACCCTTTAAAAAGGTGCCGCGAATATTATATTATTAAAATATAATAACAAGGGAATCCGCGGCACCCTCTAAAATGGTGACGCGGATACCCTTATTATTATTATTATTATTATTATTTTAATAATATAAACAAAAGAACAGATCTTCTCTCTCTCTTGCGAAGCTTGGCTTAAGCTTTCACACTCTCTCTCACTCTCTCGACCTCTCCGTTCGCTGCCCTCTCATCTCCGACGACGAGAACCGACATCCAATCTTCCTCTCGCCCTCTCATTTCCGAAGACGCTTGAGACCAGAACAGACCGTCATTTCCGCCGCCGCTCTTCCTTCTCCGACTATGACAACCGACAGCCACCGCCAAAGCCTCAGCCACACTCGTCGCCGCCCTTCCTTCGTCGGAGCTGCCTCACTCGCCACTTCCACCACCCCGTAGCTGCCGATTCCAAAAATAACCGGTAAGTTTATTTTTATATGGATAGAGGGCAACTGTCCACTTGTCGAGCAAGGAGCCAAGGAAGAAGACGGTTCACACTACCTCTAAACTCTTGATTCTTACAGTAAGTCGTCGGATTGAAAACTACCTTATTCAATTTTCAGTCTCAATTCGGCCCCCTTTTCCTACGAACTACGAATTATGCATACTGCTTTCAAATTTTTTTCTGGTGCTTTACTGTCTGTTACCAATTTTCATAATTCAAAACCCTAATTTTTAGATTTATATTTTCCGAGACTATTTGTAAACTGTGGAAATGAACAAATGGAGTTCCATTTTGAGTTATAGGCTGTTTTGTTCGGGAATATGGAGCAAGGGGAGTTGACAGAGTAGGAGACTTCCATCTACGATCGTCAGATGATGGAAAATACACTACTTCTGCTTTGTGTGGATTTGTTCATGCACAGGTAAATTTATGTGTGTTTTTGTAGGGGGAAGCATTTTGTTATGCTCTCATTTTGCTATAAATGTATGAAGATATAAAGTTTAAGGATGCCATCAATTTCAAATTTCCTTTCTTTCAAAACTGCTCTTTTCTTGAAAACTAGAGATGACTTTTTAGATATGTATACACAGTATATTGTATACAGTCAAGGTTGAGCTAAGAAACAAAGAACTTGAAAAACAATATGTATGTGAACATCTTTTCTTCTTATCTGGTCATTCTGGTGAGGCTTTGCTAACTTTTTCATAAGGAGCAATTTACATAGTAATTTAAATGTATACACAAATGTTTATGTCCTCTTGTTTGAAATAAATGTGTATTTAATACATATATCATATTGATTTGTTGATATAAATATTTATTCTTGAGGATGTCAATATATGCTTATAGTGTATCTTAAGTTGCATCAATAACATTTTCTACAAGATGTGCATATAGCATTTGTTGATAAATATTTTGATTATTGAAATGTAAGCTGTGTACATTAGTATATATACATGTGTGCATTTGCAGTTTTAATGCATTCCACTAGAACAAAGCCATTCACTATTGCTTGGCTTCAGAACACTAAAAGAAATTAATTGGATAGCAAATGCATAGGATTCATGGATCTCCTACTAGCAAAGTTATACTTTCATTTGCACGTGCATACATATTATTTCTGAACGAAATAAGTTTTAATATATATATAGCAGCATTACTAACTTAAGTAAACAGGTTACAGAACTGAAGGTTCAGAGATTCTGGTGTGCAAATCGAAGATGTTATGCTGAACATAGCACGGGTTTAATTGAGCTTGAGTTTAAGGTACATTTTTGGTAATGATGTAAACACATAGTTATTTACCATTAGTAGGGTGGTTAAACTTGTTGTGTGATATATTGCCAATAAATTCAAATTATCTTTACCGTTGCATATTTCTATTTGGGATTATTCCAGTTTTGGTTCTTTGAGTATTGCATTTGGTTTACTTACAATACATTTCTATTTGTTTATTTGTATCATCCATAAAGATGGGTGGAATATTGCACTGCATGCTGGCCCTTTGCTTAGTCACCTTTAACATGCTATTGTGTATTGATTATACACATGTCAATGTCTTCAATGGAATCTGACATAAATTAATAAGAGATATAAGGTTAAGATTCAGGATCTGGAGAAAGTTCTGGAGCCTTTATTTTACCACTGGAAACAGAAGAGACAATCAAGAACTTAGGCATTTGGTGACTTCACAACCGCATGGTAAGAAGAAAAAAATGTTATCGTTGGTGTGTGTGTTTATTTATTTTTATTTTTTTTGTGGGGGTGGTTGGCTCTATTACTCTTGGTAGTTGAGAATCTCTATCTCATATAAGCATACATGTTTTTTTTTGGTGATGACATGAATTAATGTGGTTTATAACTCGTGCCAATGTGGTTTATAACTCGTGAGCATGAGTTCCTCAAGGAGATCGGAATCGGCCCTACAAACCTCAGCTGCTACGTCAATGGGGCGTGGAAGGCTAGTGGACCTACGGTCTCCACTGTAAATCCGGCCAACAATGATGTCAGTTCATTTAGTTAAGTTTTCTTTGTTTTGATTTTGAAAAGCAGGCAGTGAGATTATGAGAAAATGGAGTGAATAATTGATGGAGATTGGCAATAACGGCAAATTGCATAAATGATTTGGTTCTATGAGTGAACTTCGGAGTGTTTTTTACACGAAAAATTTTGGAGTTCCTAATTTGTTTGAAGTTTATTGTTCCGAATTTCATTGATTCGACAAGTATGGTTGATAATTATTTGTTAATAAGGAGAAGTTCCTTTTATGGATTGCGGCGCTGATAGTTTATTTTTATCTTTATTTTTGTGTTCATTAACTCAGACCATAGACGAAGTTGTTGAAGCTTCAATTGAAGATTATGAAGAAGGCATGCAGGCTTGTAACGAAGTAGCAAAGCTGTGGATGCAGGTATATTCATCACGATGATATCAATCTTGTCACCCTATCTTCACTTTTGTCAAAATCACCTGCCTAAAGTATTGTCACTCACATAATTGTGTGCCTACCGTGTGAAAAACATCTTAATTTTGTACTTGATCTCTTCTTGACTCCTTTAGTGTAAACTAAATGTCTTGATTGTTTCTATTTTGTCTCAGATTCCAGCACCAAAAAGAGGTGATATTGTTAGGCAGATTGGTGATGCACTTAGAGGAAAACTTCACTACTTTGGCTGACTTGTTTCACTTGAAATGGGGAAAATACTACCTGAAGGAATTGGGGAGGTTCAAGTATGTCTACTTTACTAAGTCTGTGGTGTAACAAAAAAGTCTTATTCTTCTGCAACAATGAAACTGTTCCTTGACTTGTTCTCCTGCCAACAATAATGTACAAGTTAATTCCATTTTCTCTAAGAATAATTGATGGTTTTCATTTCTAAATTACTTACTACTTGGGCCGATGTGCTAGTGCATAATCATCTTCGATCTTCCTTTTTGATTATCACATTTTTTTGAATAGCTATTACATATTAAATCAGCAATACTTAAATGCAAGTGGTGGTACTACTTACTGATTAGTTATATATTTTCTTTTAGCATTCATTAGTTGTTATTTGTTTACTGGTTTAAATTAGTTCTTGAATAGAAGTTTAATTAATTGTTATTTGTTTTTTAAATTTGTTGTTGAATAGATTGGTTTAATTAGTTGTTATTAGTTTTGTAAATTTTTGTGTGAATTTTGATAATTATGTAGAGGTTTTAGGTTTTATTTTGAGCAAATAACAGGGGAATATTGTATTTTAAATTTTTTTTTTTTTAAAAAAAAAGTATCCGCGACACCTTCTCTGAAGAGGTGTCACGGATACACTTAATTAAAATAAATAAATAAATACTTTCCGCGACACCCATCTGTTCGTGGTGTCGCGGAAAGTATTTAATAATAAATTACTAATTGACTTTCCGAGGCACCTGTCACGCAACAGGTGCCTCGGAAAGTCTGTATTAAAAAAAATAAAAATTGCTTATTTAGCTTTCTGCGACACCTTATACAGGTGCCTCGGAAAGCTAAACACTTTCAGAGGCTCTGGAATCCGAGTCACCTGTACAGGTGACTCGGAAAGTATTTTATAGGAGACTCAGATAGCTTTTTTTGTACTAGTGAACAATCTTTGTTCTCAATCCAGCTTCGCTGTTCGTCTTCGTATTTACCAAGAAGTAGATTTACACCCAACAGACCTACACTGAAAAATGTAATACTAATAAGAGATAAAGTATTTGTTACTTATAAGGGAAAATATAATACTTTTGAGAAAAACGGTAATGATTTTAAATCAAAATGCAAAAAATATTTTTTCTTAAAAAGTATTACATTTCCCCCTTATATGTAACAAACACTTTATTCCTAATTAGTATTACATTTTTCAATTTAAGCATTACATTTTCATCTTAATCCGACCCGTCTCACGAACAAGAATCCTTAAGACGGTCTCACAAATTTTTTGCATTTAATTTTATTTTGAGCATCTCACATCTAATTGCTTAGAGATTAATGATTTGCAGATGGATACATAGTACAATTTTAGCACTATGCTTTTGGATGGATAATTTAGGAAAATATATACTCGTGTTATTATGGAGTTCTTATTTGATTTACAGTTTCAGATTTGAATCATATCAAAGATATTATACAATTGTGTGTAGTATTGTTAAAGCTTATGCACTAAATTATTTAGAAAACAAGGCAATAACTTAGAGTAACCATAATAAGGGATTTTTAGTAATTTTTTAAACAGTGAAAAACTTGTGAGTTGATTTTTAACAAATTTGGGAAGTGATTTTTTCTTGGATTGTTTTCCTGCAAAAATAATTTTTTTGCATGTTAAAAAAAAAAAAAAAAAAACCAATGAGACGCGCAAGTGCATCTCACTGGCCACCCAAGCAGGTGCGTGTAATACACACGCCCGCTTGGGCGTTATTATTATTTTTATCATAAATACTATTTATCACTACAATTATTTCACTTTTCATCCTACTCTCAATTCTTACATCTCAAAACTTTTTTTTTTTTTTTTTTTTTCTTTTTTTTTTGCATAGCACAATTCTCACAATTTTCAATCTACATACAAAGTGCCCAATTTCCAGGTAACATGCAATTTTCTCAATTTTCGCCTTTTTCCGCACAAAGAGAAAATAATGTAACAATTATTCCACCACGGGCTAACTCGGTGTGTCGTTGATAAGTGTCAAAGACACCTAGTTTTAGGGTCTCATTTAGGGTGTATTCTAAGCTAATTATGATCCTTTGTGTACCATTCTTAGGCCATTTGAGCTATGTTGTGCATTATGTTATAAAATGTTACCACACTTTGGATTTTGTGTTTTTGTAGGAAGATTTAGCTTAAAACGAAGCATGGTGGCACATCCCGGGGCAAAGCATGACAAGAAGACAAGCTGAGGCCAAGCCGGGAGGAGGCAACACGCGTTGTGAAAAAGAAGAAACTTCCATGCACGGCACAACGTGCGTTGCGGGCTCGCGTAAGAAACCGGACAACGCACGTTGCCTCTCTCGTTGCAGAAACGTTGTCGCGTCACTTATGCGGAATTGAGGATATAAAAGGCCATTTTTCAGCTTAGAGAGGGAGACTTTTTACACATTCTACATTTCTAATTTCCTGATTTTGTAGTTTAGGTTAGAACCCTAGAGAGAAAAATAGAGCATTTGCCTTTGGATTGAAGATTTGTGCACAATTGGAGTTGTCTTTTACATTCATTTGTTAATTTCTATCCTTTTGTCTTGTTATATCTTTTAATTCTCTTGTTCTTATCTTTCATTGCAAATCTTCTCACCTCTTGGAGTAATTGATGTCTGTTAGATTTAGGTTTCTTTGATCCAATGACAATACTTGGCTATATTTGTGTGGTTGAGTTGAGATCCTTGATACTATGCTATCTAGGTTGAAGTTTTGAATGAGAGTGGATGATTGTGATGAATGTTTGCTATGTGTTGGGCTTGCTATGTTGTGATCTTGTCGGATTGATGGCTACAATTGGGCAAGAGTCAAGGAAGGAGGGATGAGCAAGAGAGTGTCATCCCAACCTAGCCTAGAAGCTCACCATCTCCGCCTTACAACCCGAGAGGGCTAGGCCCGGGAGATGTGGTAGACAAGGTGTTTGTGTAAATACCTCCGCCGACATAGGCAAGGGAGAGTCTAAATCCTATGCGATTTGGAGTAGTGCCTCTAACCTCGGTAGAAAGACAATTCGTTACGCATCCCGCTTAGCAAACAACAGTGTAATTGACCTAGCAGATGCATAGTCGAGGAGATCAATTCAACCTATTTTACTCCCGTGACTTTCCTCGTTGTGTTTATATCGTCTTAGCTATGCTTAGTTATTTTGTTTACGTATTCTCGAGTAAGGGCATGTTAGTCTCTCCAATTTGTTGAAGTAAGAATCATTTCATCGACCAACAAAGCCAAAAGCAAGAAAAGGTTCCAAATGAGTAATTGAGGTTACACAAAATCGGAGCCAAAAAAGGGAGAGTTGGATCCCGGCTTATTTTACATATCTCGCCATGAGCGGGTTGCTATGCACCACATCCCGCTCAGAAGCAGAGAATGGTGTATATGGTAAATTCACACGCCCCCATTCCAGTTTGGTAGAGTTCTACATGCAGTTTGAGAGCGTGTTGGGAACGCAGCGCTATCGACAGAGTAAACTGAATGCGGAGTGCGAGAGTTACCTGCCTGAGTTTAAAACACCTCTACCACTCGAGTGTCATATTGCACAAGAGTTCACAATCACTATTTTTTACGAGTTACAGAAAGAACTAGAAGCTGCTTGTTTTTATTGTCGTGTGGTGGGTATACGGCAAGAATGGGGAAAGGCCCAATACGACATCACAGGTGAGTGCAACACTGTTTCGACCGTGCACCACGAGCCAGGGGGCCTACGTGTGTCATGACTGCAATTTGTTCCAAAGAATGGGCCTGGTCTGTAGGCATATGTTCCTGGTTTTCCGTGACGCGCAGTTGGAACAGTTACCAATCGAGTACATTGTGAGCCCTTGGTGCATACACCTAAATTCATTCGTGATAATAAAACATAAAATAATAGAAATATTTAAAATATAATAACTAAATTGTTAATTTTTAAAAATAAACTTAGTAGTTTAGATATAAAGATAGTAAAAAGATACACGAAGTTATATAAACTTTTATAAATAACTACATACTAGTACTTATTTTACTATTATATATTTATACACACACACATGGTGGGTCGGGTGGGGTTCTAGGCGGGTTTTGTACATAGAACTCGAATCCAACCCGACCCACCGCAGATTTACTTTTTAAAGACCCACCCCCGACCCACTACCCACCATCACCCAAAAAAACCCGATCCATGCGGGGTGGATATCCGCAGGGCGGATTGAAATTGCCATCCCTAAAACTGAAGGGCCTTATTGAGGAATTTGTGAGTGACGGTATAACTACAAACCCTGTTAAGGGAAACCGGAACGCGATACAGGCATTATGTGGCATTGAGGCCCCGAAATCCATAACAATCCGAGCTCCCGCTCAGGCGAAGAATAAAGGCACTGGGAAGCGTATTAAAAGCAGTCGGGAGATAGCCATAGAGCGGAATGTCAAAATCTGGCGAAAGTGCAGTGTGTGTGGAAACTACGCTCGCCATAATACTCGTAGTTGCCCTGCAAAGTAACGTTGAATCCAGTTTTTTATTCGTTTTTGCTTTTGGTAGTATTTTCTGCTCTTGCTTTTATTCGTTTTTTTTTTTTTTTTTTTTTTTTTTTTTTTTTTTTTTTTTTTTTTTCTTTTTTTTTTTGGTTTAAATAACTGAACACTCCACAATAAAGAAATTGAAAAACATGCACACCAAAATTTCCTTACATAACAGAGATTAGAAAAGAAAATAATATTCTGCGCACTTGCAGAACACTACATATTTTATGTCTTGATTTCCTTTGGTGGGGTGGGGGGTGGGGGGTGGGGGGGGGGGAATAATACTCCAAAAGTTAGGATTTTTTCTTTTATTTTAATGGGAGAAATTCAAAAGAAGAGTATGTACGAGCAAAGCTACCTAAAGTTAGCAGATGATAATTAAGTACGTGCGCTAGATACTAGTACTGTATAAACTAGCCTTGACTAAGCTGATCCAACCAAAAAATGCTACCAACAAGATTGTTAACTGCACCATCACTGCAGTCACACGCCCAAAAAAATCCTGGTTCCGGGTCTATTGCATGCGTAGCTTATTCATGGTTACCTGATCCATGCTGATTCTCCATTATTTTGATACCGGTCCTGATCAGTGGAGCATCTGCGCTAACCTCTGGCATTCAAACTCCCCCACGCGCGCTGCAAAGTTGTGCGCATGCAGGTTGGCCACACTGAGTATGATATTATGCATGTAGCGTTTGC